GGTTTTCAGTACTCCTTAATATTCCCCCCCCCTGGCTTCTCCTGTCCTCAATAACAGTAAAGTTCAGTTTACTGAATATTTTACTGGGAGTACTTGCTCTCCATATCTAGAGGAGAAAAATACGTTTCATCTCTCTACATTCTAAATTTGTGCGGTGTGTGTGTTTTCTTAAAGAGAGTTGTATGTTGTTCTTACACGTTACAAACAGTATTATAAAGATTTTCTTATTTAGATTGCCTGATGGCTCTCCGGATTATTTTTTAGGGACTGCATTTGATGCATAGGTTTTTGTGTTTATATGAGCATCAGGACACTTATTTCGACCGCAATATCTTTCTCCGAGACATGAATTGCCATTCCTTAATCTCGTAATATTTCTGGCAATCTTCTCGCCTTTGCTTATATCTTCATAACATAGAAATTTTCAGGGTTGAATTCCAGGAGCCACCTATCAGACTGATATTATTTCTTGTGTCTCCTGAAGTCACTGACAGGAAGGAAAGGAATCTTAAATTGAGCTATTAAGTGTCTGAGCTTCAGTCATCTGTCATATACCTATAATAGGTTAAGTAATAATTTTAATTACGAAGCAATAAGATGCTTATCTTAACATACTAAGAAGGTTAGGTAAGGTCGGTGTTTTCTATGAAGCTTTTCAAGGTAAACTAGCATGTTTAGTATGTCACATATGCACGTATTTAATAAGTCAAAGTGCGAGAACGGGTTGTATAATGACTCAGGAATATGAGACTGCTCCAGCTGGGGGCACTAGACCACAAAAATGCATTGCTGACCTAGATGTATAAATCGGCCCCGCAGCATGTGCATCACTAAACAAAAAACTAAATTACAGTTGAGTAAATTATAGACTTCGCTATATCAAGCTTATAATGACGAGGCATGGATTCGCCTTTGAACAGTTTTATGATGACTCAAATACTCTGGAGTAAGTTAGCTATTAGCGCTAGGATATTTAGGATAGTATAAATATCTAACACTGACAGAAAAATGCTTCAAACACCTTGTCATGAAATATTCCCCCCTCATCTAAGGAGTTACTTTTCTGTAACCAACTAGTTCGTTAAAAATACGACGCATTATTAAAAAAAAAATAAAGCACCGTAATATTGACGTTTTATGTATCCATCGGCCACGATAGGTTTGATGGATTGATTAGGTTTGTGTGTTTTTGTTTTGTTTTTTGTTAAATAGCGAGAACTGGCAGGCAATACACTTAAAGTAGAACAATCTCCTCGATCTACCTCATACAGATTGGTTATAATTATTGGCTGATTAAACTAGTACTTCTCCAGCATTGAGATTTAACAGAGAGGAATGGTAATAGTACGAACTTGTATATAATTGTTGACTAACAAAATACTATCAGATTAGTAATAGTGAAATATGCCGATATTAATGTGATAGTCCCTATTAAATTAGATAATAATAATGATGCAAGACAATAAATAATAAACTTGATCTCTACCTTTAAAACTTCTCGTTTAACATTATTGTATGTCACAACGATCCATAATAGAAGAATGAGTATAATAAATCTCACTCATACGAGGAAATTAATATAAATGAATCTCGATTAAACGCAAATCTGAAACAATGTAGCTGGATATTAAATTGAAACACACACGAGTCTTTCTATAAATTACTGTAAACACCACAGCCACCGAAATACATAATGCTAGCACACAAGTGACAATTAGACACTTAAGTTATAATTATGTGACATTCAGTGTTCACAAACAAAAATGAACAGCGTAACCACGTTCAAAATGGTTAATAGTTAATACACAGCTCATGCTACTGTGAGTAATTCATTAATTTACCAAAACACACAATCAGGTTTGTAAATTATTGAAACCAATACAACATGGACGGAACACTTAGGCATTCCCAGTCTTACGGGATAGCACAATATTCTCAGGAATAACAATATATATATATATATATATATATATATATATATATATATATATATATATATATATATATATATATATAATATATAAAGGGGGGTGGTAGGAGAAGCGAACACTCTTACGTATTCAGAGTTAAATGGCAAGTTTTTCCCTGAATGCTCTGTGTTCCCTTCTCTGAGGCTGTGGGTCCCTATAATTGCACCAGTTGTGGTACCCCCCTATATATATATAATATATATATATATATCCTTGATATCATATTCTCGCCGGGGTGGGTTGGGAAGTAGCCTGTTACACACATAAAAACCGTGTCGTGCCCAAACATTTTTTCATTTGTCGGGTCTTAGATAGTTGGATTGATTACTTCGACACTAGGTAGTGTCGAAGCTGCTACGCCTTCGTTGTGATAGTTGACGTTTAACTCCGTTAGTGTATCCTCTTGTCAGGTACGTAACGCCAGGGCTATACACCACAATAATAGTGTTTAACGCACGTGGGATGTCTTCTCCTGCCGGTTGACAACGAGCCCTAAAACACACACACACACACACACACACACACGCACGTGCATACAAACGCACATACATACAAACGCACATGCATACACACGCAGTGGTGGTTGGGCATGAATGGACAGGACAGGCAGGAGAGGCTGGTTGTATTATATGCAAAATTGTCGAACTGACAGAGGTTCTTCATGGTGCCTACTAGATCTCCAAGCATCAACTCGCTGCCGAAAAAAAAGCAGGACCGGATCATCAACAGTGTTAACAAAACCAACACTGTCTTGTTGACCAGACCACACACTAGAAGGTGAAGGGACGACGACGTCTCGGTCCGTCCTGGACCATTCTCAAGTCGATTGAATCGACTTGAGAATGGTCCAGGACGGACCGAAACGTCGTCGTCCCTTCACCTTCTTGTGTGTAGTCTGGTCAACATACTTTAGCCACGTTATTATGACTCATCGCCAGCAAACACAGTCTTAACACCTATAGTGCCTCCGTCACCCGGCAATCCACATTACTTCTGGCTGCCTCAGCCTTGCTGCAACACTCTTACCGTTGACGGATGATGATTGAGAGAGAGCGCCTCAAGCTATATCCTGATGAGATTCTTCGCTCTCAAAATTGATGGTTAGGTCCTTGGAAATCACTAAAAGCTAATCCCCATTGACTGCGTACAGAGGTGAAGCGTACTCACTCTTTAGCCAACAGGGCTAAGGAGTGAGCATGCTAGGGAGTGTTTATCCCTTACGCATCCCCATCTGGTTGATACCTGGTCGATGGGGTTCTGGGAGTTCTTCTACTCCCCAAGCCCGGCCCGAGGCCAGGCTCGACTTGTGAGAGTTTGGTCCACCAGGCTGTTGCTTGGAGCGGCCCGCAGGCCCACATACCCACCACAGCCCGGTTGGTCCGGCACTCCTTGGAGGAATAAATCTAGTTTCCTCTTGAAAATGTCCACGGTTGTTCCAGCAATATTTCTTATGCTTGCTGGGAGGACGTTGAACAACCGCGGACCTCTGATGTTTATACAGTGTTCTCTGATTGTGCCTATGGCACCTCTGCTCTTCATTGGTTCTATTCTACATTTTCTTCCATGTCGTTCACTCCAGTACGTTGTTATTTTACTGTGTAGATTTGGTACTTGGCCCTCCAGTATCTTCCAGGTGTATATTATTTGATATCTCTCTCGTCTTCTTTCCAGTGAGTACATTTGGAGGGCTTTGAGACGATCCCAATAATTTAGGTGCTTTATTGCATCTATGCGTGCCGTATATGTTCTCTGTATTCCCTCTATTTCAGCAATCTCTCCTGCTCTGAAGGGGGAAGTGAGTACTGAGCAGTACTCAAGACGGGACAACACAAGTGACTTGAAGAGTACAACCATTGTGATGGGATCCCTGGATTTGAAAGTTCTCGTAATCCATCCTATCATTTTTCTGGCTGTCGCAATATTTGCTTGGTTATGCTCCTTAAACGTTAGGTCGTCAGACATTATTATTCCCAAATCCTTTACATGCTGTTTTCCTACTATGGGTACATTTGATTGTGTTTTGTACTCTGTATTATGTTTAAGGTCCTCATTTTTACCGTACCTGAGTACCTGGAATTTATCACTGTTAAACATCATGGGATTTTCTGATGCCCAGTCGAAAACTTTGTTAATATCAGCTTGATATCTAGGCGAGCCTGACAGCTGAGTGGACAGCGCTTCGGAATCGTAGTCCTGAGGTTCCGGGTTCAATTCCCGGTGGAGGCAGAGACAAATGGGCAACAATTTTCTTTCACCCTGATGCCCCTGTTACCTAGCAGTAAATAGGTACCTGGGAGATCAACAGCTGCTTCCTGGGGGGGGGTAACAAAAAGGAGGCCGGGTCGAGGACTGGGCCGCGGGGACGTTAAACCCCGAAATCATCTCAAGTAATCTCAAGATAAGAAGATACACAGATTGTGTGGGGTAGGGGGGGAAGGGGGAATTGTGATTGGACAGATGGTGTAGGGATGGGACGGGATGTGTAGGGAAAGGATAGGGGTTGTAGAACGTGCAGATAAGTGGATTTTGTCTGTGATATGGAACAGGAGCTAGTTTGACGGGAAGGGACTGGGATGGACTAATTTGAGATACCTGAGGTGGGAGATTGTAGGGAATTTCCTGCGATAGTATGAGGGACGGGGCACTTCATCCTCCTGGAATGATAATGCTAGTATTTTCACTAGATAGTTACAATATGTGTTGACGGCCCACCAAAAAGATAACTATTTTGTACTTTTTTTATGGAGTCCGGAAAATGGGAAGGGGAGGGGGTGGTTTTGGGTAGCTGGATAGAACGAGACTATCTCTGCATCCCGTTCTCTTCCTTTACCCTATCCTGCCATCCAGTTCCTCTGTCCCATCTGCCTTCCCACATCCCAACTTTCTCATATTTGGCCTTCATCGTGAAACATTGTCATGCCCCACGCATGTTGCACTTCGTCACGCAAACATGTTCCAAGACGCCGTGACATTATCGCAAAAGTTCGACCTTAACGGCTTCGCACTTCTTGTTGCTCGCAACTCATCAGTATGTTGCATATCTTCCTCCTGCACATGATCGCTTCCTTTGAGGGGCTGTCTGTCACTTGTGAGCGCTCGCTCCCTCCACCCAGGAGTGGAATGGGTAGTCTTTACCCCGACGCCCTCTGCCTCCACCGACGCCCTCTGCCTCCACCGACGCCCTCTGCCTCCACCGACGCCCTCTGCCTCCACCGACGCCCTCTGCTGTCCGCCTCCACCGACGCCCTCTGCCCTCCGCCTCCACCGACGCCCTCTGCTGTCCGCCTCCACCGACGCCCTCTGCTGTCCGCCTCCACCGACGCCCTCCACCTCCACCGACGCCCTCTGCTGTCCGCCTCCACCGACGCCCTCTGCCTCCACCGACGCCCTCTGCTGTCCGCCTCCACCGACGCCCTCCACCTCCACCGACGCCCTCTGCTGTCCGCCTCCACCGACGCCCTCTGCCTCCACCGACGCCCTCCACCTCCACCGACGCCCTCTGCCTCCACCGACGCCCTCTGCCTCCACCGACGCCCTCTGCCTCCACCGACGCCCTCTGCCTCCACCGACGCCCTCTGCCTCCACCGACGCCCTCTGCCTCCACCGACGCCCTCTGCCTCCACCGACGCCCTCTGCCTCCACCGACGCCCTCTGCCTCCACCGACGCCCTCTGCCTCCACCGACGCCTTCCGCCTCCACCGACGCCCTCCCCCTCCACCGACGCCCTCCCCCTCCACCGACGCCCTCCGCCTCCACCGACGCCCTCCGCCTCCACCGACGCCCTCCGCCTCCACCGACGCCCTGTGCCGTCCGCCTCCACCGACGCCCTCTGCTGTCCGCCTCCACCAACGCCCTCTGCTGTCCGCCTCCACCGACGCCCTGTGCCGTCCGCCTCCCCGTATATCACCGGCAACTTCCGCTTTAAATTCCAGTGTGCCAGTGAAGCTGTATCTCCTTCCATTTCATGACCCGTCGGCTTCTTGAATCCAAGATCAAAGCCCCGGAGCACGTGTGTATCGTTGGCCGCACTCATGCTTAGGGACCTGCTTCAGAAGCTTCGGTCTGTTTTCAAACTCGCCAGATTGCCCAGGATCTGTTTCCCCGAATTTCTATTGCTCATGCCTTAGTTTTGTGTGTGTGTGTGTGTGTGTGTGTGTGTGTGTGTGTGTATTTTATTATATTTTTTTGTACCTGGCGCGGACAACTTCGCCGTCGGATATTCATCGTGAATCGAAAGGCTGAATTAGTTGTTAAGATTTGAAATTGTCGCTCTGCTCTCCACTATTCAATTAATTTTAATTTGGTATTTAGTAGATGGTTTATGGATGTTATAATTTGTATTAAGCTCTTAAATAAAATATACGGTTAAATTTGATTCTCTCTCTCTCTCCCCCTCTCCCTCTCCCTCCCCCCCCCCCCCCCCCCCCCCCCCCTCCGAGTTTTCCTCCTGACCCCATCACCCATGAACCTTGGTTTCCTCGTCCAGTATTCTCTGTCTACACTCCATCCCCTTTTGGCGCGCGCTCTGCCATTTCCTCCCCCCTTCTTTTGTGGACGTTTTTCCGCCTCTGCACACTCCCTGCAGTCTAATTCGCTACTCCAAACTCCATCCATCTCCTTTTCATTCCTTGCACCCTATTTCTCTCCCAGGTCTCTCCCTGTCCAGTGTTTCTTCTCCCCCTCCTCTCTGTCAGATCTGTGTCTTCCTCATCCTGCTGAACGTTTTTTTTCAAGTCTTAATCTTCCTGCTTCCCCTCTTCTGCTCGCCCAGTACCCACTTGCTTAGAGGGGGGAGGGGGAGGGAGATGGGCGTGGGAGGAAAAGACACGAGAGCAAAAGAAAGGAGAAGGAAAGGGAAAGACTTAGAAAAACACATGGAAACTTTCACTAAAAAAAGTGCACTTAAAAGTGCACTCTTTTAATCATGAAAATTTTCGTTTGTTCGAAATCGCTAATCTCCGAAAGTTCTCCGATTTCTTTGAAATTTTCACACAACGTTCCATTTGCATTCGTGCAAATTTTTATATACATACTATATAGAGGTCACGTCTGTGACGGTAAAAAAAAAACATGCTTTTCTTAAAAACTGTGTTTTTCATGTGTTTTTCCATGTGACGGAAATCTTCGAAACCTCTTTACCGATTGCTTTGAAATTTTAACACAACGTTGCAATCGAATAGGCGCGTCTTTTTATATATCTACAATATACATGCCTCACCTGTGACAGGGTAAAACGTGCTTTTTTTTTTTAAACAGCGCCATTTATTGGACGTAAGCGCAACACATGCTGTAATCTCCGAAAGTTCTTAACTGATTGCTTAGAAATTTTGACACAACGTTGCATTCGAATAGGAACGTCTATTAATATACCTACTATATAGATGCAACCCCTGTGACAGGTAAAAATAAGCGTTTTTGAAAACAGCGCCATCTGTTGCACATAATGGCAACATGCACGTTATACTAAATATGTCACGAATTCCATTTCAATGTTTCCGATTGCACTGATAAATTTTATTTTCATAGACTGCGATTTTTTTTTTTTTTTTTTGGTGAATTATTTTGTGACATTGTGTTGGAATTGAGCTGTGTTGTTTACCATACCGTTCATTTCGTATGTATAAGTATAGATGCCACACCTGTGACAGGTAAAACTATGCTTTTCTTGAAAAACACTGCCATCTGTTGGACGTAAGAGCAACACATGCTGTAATCTCTGATAGTTCTTCACCAATTGCTTTGAAATTTTGACACAACGTTCCATTCGAATACACGCATGTTTTTATATACCTACTACATACATACCACACCTGTGACAGGTAAAAACATGCTTTTTTGAAAAACAGCTCTATCTGTTGCATGTAATAGCAACACACACACACACACACACTATACTAAATATGTTACGATTCCATTTCAACGTTTCGGATTGCATTGATAAATTGAATTTTCATAGATTACGATTTATTTTCAAATTGATTTAATTATTTTGTGTGACATTGCGTTGGAATTGAGCTGTGTTGTTTACCATAATGTTCATTTCGTGAGAATAGTTTATTTGTTCATTTTTAACCGTTTTTATTTCGTTTTATAACTGTTTTTCTTATATATAAGTGATGGGAACATCAGATCACTTGACGCTCCCAATTCTCTGATGGAAACCTCAGATCATTTGGGAATGCATCGGACGAGGGAGTGGGGAATGGTGGGGAGGACGAGGGGACGGGAGTGGGGGATGGTGGGGGGGATGACAAACTAGGGGAGGGGGTAATTGTGGGGAGGACTAGGAGATGGGGGAGGGGGAATGGAAGGGAGGACGAGGGGTATGGGGGGAGTGGGAAATGGTGGGAACGATGAGGGGACTGTGGTGTGGGGAATGGTTAGGAGGACGAGGGGACGGAGGAGTGGGGGGGGATGGTGGGGAGAACAAAGAATAGGTGTAGGGAGGAAATGGTGGGGAGGACTAGGAGACCGGGGAAGGTTAGTGTGACTCAGCTGAGCCACAGTAACGCGTGGCCGGGTACAGCTAGTATATATAATGTGAAGTTTTCACTTGATTTTTTATTTATAAAGATATATCGTTATTCCAAGAAATAAATTTTGTGGAAGAGATGTCAAATGTTATTTATAGCTGCAAGTAAATTGCGAGAGCAAATTATTCAAAACTATATAAATACATGGAAAAGCATAAGGAAATCAACGGGGGATAAAATAACACAATGAGAACAAAAGGAAAATTATTTACATACGGCCTTCGAACTCGATTTAGCAAGAAACCACTAATGATTTTAACGTCAAAGATACACAAAGCACAACACTCATAACATTTCCCAATCAGGACAAGAAATTCCGACATGAAGAAAAAAAATACATACACCGTTTACGACTCGCAAAAAATGCAAACACAAAATGCAAGGAAAAACTCTCAAGTATTCCCGACAAGGACAGGTCCTTGTAATATAATTAATATGTCATGGAGTGAGCCGAGGACTTGAGCTGAATGAGAAGCGAGCCGTGATATGACTTAGCTCGCTCGTCAGGCCATAAATGAGAAGAGTAAAATGATTTGAATTGACTCTAATGGGTATAAGGCCTCTTGTTATTCGTCATGCTAACCTCACTCTCCTTCAAGTGGGACGGTCTTCAACGTTTCTTTTTAATGTGCGTGTATACAAGAGTGCAAGGACAGGAATATATATATATATATATATATACTATATATATATATATTATATATATATATATATATATATATATATATTATATATATATATATATATATATATATGCAACAATGATCACAAAAAAACACTGATCCAAGTATGGAGAATAACCACATGTGAAAAATAGAAAATGCTTAACGCGTTTTCGGCTAATTCGCCTTCATCAGAGCAAAGTAGAATGAGGATCTTCATTCTACTTTGCTCTGATGAAGGCGAATTAGCCGAAAACGCGTTAAGCATTTTCTATTTTTCACATGTGGTTATTCTCCATACTTGGATCAGTGTTTTTTGTGATCATTGTTGCATATATATATATATATATAATATATATATATATATATATATTATATATTATATATATTATATATATATAATATATATATATATATATATATATATATATTAATATTATATATATATATATATATATATATATATAATATATAATAGATTATATATATATATATATATATATTATATATATATATATATATATATCTAATATATATATATATATATATATATATATATATATATATATATAAACTGATATAATATATAGAATAATATATGTATAATATAATATTTATATATAATATATCATATATAAATATAATATATCTTATATATATCTATATAATAAATATATATACTATATATATAATATATATTATATATAATATATTGCATATATATATATATATATATAATATATATATATATTATAATATATATATATATATAAAATATCATATATATATATATATATATATATATATAATATATATATATATATATATATATATATATATATATATATATATATAATGTCTTAAAATCACACCCCAGAAGTGACTCGAACCCATGCAGCCAGGAGGCACTCTGAGACGTGGTATTTTATTGATATAGGTGAATCAAACGTACGTGTGTGTGTGTGTACTCACCTATATGTGCTTGCAGGATCGAGCATTGACTCTTGGATCCCGCCTTTCCAGCTATCGGTTGTTTACAGCAATGACTCCTGTCCCATTTCCCTATCATACCTAGTTTTAAAAGTATGAATAGTATTTGCTTCCACAACCTGTTCCCCAAGTGCATTCCATTTTTCCACTGCTCTCACGCTAAAAGAAAACTTCCTAACATCTCTGTGACTCATCTGAGTTTCCAGTTTCCACCCATGTCCCCTCGTTCTGTTATTATTACGTGTGAACATTTCATCTATTTCCACTTTGTCAATTCCCCTGAGTATTTTATATGTCCCTATCATATCTCCTCTCTGTGTGTGTGCGCGCGCGCGCGAGCGAATATCACAAAAACTTGATTCAGTTAAGTATAAGCATTTACATAGGAGAATTAAGGCGAAAATAAACTGAGTGCTTTTGTGATTTAAGCCATGGCAATGTTAGCGTTAGATAACTGGTACTTATGTGACTCCTGTTAGAAATTGACAGTCACGTCCAGTTCCTCATACATAGCACATACGGCTAGAACACGGCAAGCATTTCCCCTGCTGAATGGCAATGCCCTGGAACCAATAACTGAATGGTCTTGGGTCTTTTGTTTCCCTAATGAGTTTATAGCCCAAATCGTTTAAGAACTTAGATGTGCTTTTACTTCATGCCCTATAATGTCTCAGATCGTATCAGAATGAAGATTTGGTACTGTTCGTGACTTCGGTGTATGCTAGTTTTCTGGGTCTTACTGAGTATAAAAGCAGAGGATGTAATGAACACACACACCACACACACATCTTTAAACACA